TGAGTATGTCATGTTCCACATTTGGGTCGTTTATTCTATTCTAATAGAATAGAATAAACTTTATTCATCATCAGAAACCCATCACAAAATCAAAATGAAACTATAGTTTGAGCAATTAATGAAGAGTCAGTTGACCCAAAGTACAAGAAATAGTTGCCATTTAAATGTATCTGCCTTTACTCCAAAAAAAGGAATGAGCAATATTTTATTTGATATTATTATATTAAATAGATCATGAAAAAGTAACATTTTTGGACAATCGGTTGAGAGATGAGCAAATTAAATACCTGACAAATCAAGGTGCTTCATGTTAAACTTAATATATAACTACAAAAATCCAGTACTGCCAAAAACCAGTGGATTTTAAATTTCTAACATTTCCCACAATAGCTGAATAAATTCTGAGATATTCACTGTCTTGCCAAGAATTAGAGGAGACGATTGCTACTAGGCCTACTATACATGTGTCCATTGCAAAAAAAGGTAAGCTTAAAAAATGGTTTCTTTAGCTTAGCATAAAGACTAGAAACGGGGATGCTTCCCTGGTTCTGTTTTAAGGTTAAAATAATCTCTATTATTATATACTGTAGTACCTCTATAACGGACTAATTTATATGTTTTTATCTTTTTTCTGTCCATAGTAATTTAAAAGTGACTTTAACTATTTCCAGACTGGGAGCCGTGACTTCTTGGAGTCACTGGCTAACAGACACATATGAGACTGGAAGGCTTTTGATCTTCCCATCTAACTCTCATCAAAAAGGCATATTTCCCAAAATACAAAAACCTTCTTTAAAAATTATTCTAAAAAAATGTAACAGTAGTAAAGTTTGTAAGTAAAGTTTATTTAATAGCAACTGATCTAGATCAGATGTCACAAAGTGCTTCACAACAAATATAATAAAAACACATGAAACATAAAATAAAATAAAATGTAAGTAAATAAAACTACACATACATACATATATTCACCTCCGTTGTGTTATTGTGGTGGCATAAATATCCTGGGCAAATAATGCAATATCCATATGCATGGTCTCCAGAGGTAGGTGAGGAAATATGTTGGTTGAAGAGACCCTTTAAAAATGGGGTAACTTCGGGTTAAATATTTGTAATATTTCATAAATAAGTCATGTTGGCTTTCTTAGTTTTTATGAAAAAAATAAGAAAGACCTTATATGTTTGAAGGTGAGAGTCTGTGAAGTTGGGTGTGATGGTCCAGGAAACACCTGACAGTGGGAGGCCACACAAAGCCGTTCTACTGGGTGAAGCATCAATTATTCAGCTCGCTCTAAATGTGGGACAAGAGGAGGTCAGGCGAGATTCTCCTCCCATGCTGTGGATGATGCTGACTTGCCAGAAGGCTTGTGGTGATGATGATGATGATGATGATGACGATGATGATGATGATCAGGCTGATGATAATGAGCTATTATCAATGCAGACACAGATTCAGTCATGACTGATGATTCATACTCATACAGAGGAACACTTGTGTGTCTCGGCTGTGTAGAATACCTTTGTGTTGTCTTGACTCAGACGTGAATCTTCCCACAGCAACAAAACAAAGCCATGCACACACACACACACACACACACACACGCACTAGGCTGTTGAAACATTTCAGCACGGATAAGCCTGGATGATGACACAGACGGAGCGTGCTGATACAGTATAGATGAACCTGCTCGGCACAGTACCTTGTGTTGCCATGGCAACAATGTAAGGCCTTTCGACAAGTCAGGAGGGTCACAAAGAGTTGTGATAGTGCTGGGATGGCAGGGGGGTGCTGGGCAGTTTTTGAAGGTGAACTTTGTTGGTCTCTTTCCTTTTCAATCAATGCTACAGTGTTGGACCCTGGTGCTGCATGTCATGGTGAAGGATGAAATTAAAAACTTTTTTTTTTTTCTCCCCCCAGAGGACACTGGAGGATAAAGGTTCGTGTGACTGACTCCTTCTGTTTCCAAAGAGGAGTTCATGTCCAGGTTGGCCCAACAGACAGGAGTAAAGGACACTGGCGGTTTGGCTGCAGTGGTTCAGCTGCTGGTATGGTGTAGGATAACGGCCTGAAACCTCCACAGCAATGATGGGCCTGCTTATGTGTTTAGGTTGTCTGCTACTGGACTTCATGATGGCCCACAGTGAGTACATGGTGTTTTTTTTATTGTAATGATTTGTTCAGGTAATGGTTTTAGCTTTTAGTTTAATAAATGTTAAAGAAGTGGCCAGTTTGAGACCTTTTTTAAAGAATACTTTGACATTTTGAAAATTAGAAATATTTGTTTTCTTGCTGAGCGTTAGATGGGAAGATCAATACTCTTTTGTCTGTTTGGTAAATAGGAAGCAAAGGGTTAGTTTAGCTGAGCACAAAGACTAGAAACATGGGCAAACAGTACCAAAATCCCTTTACCAGCACCTAAATTAACTAGTTATGTCTTGTCTGTTTAATCCATACAAGTGAAAAAAGAAAGACAATTCTACATTTTACAAACAAATAAATAAGCAACTCCTTTAAATTGCTTTCCTCTGCCTTACAGCAGATTAGTTTGAGATTACTCCTCAACAGGTGCTCATTAATATATTCAGATGTATTTCCACCAAAGGTCACAGTATCACTGTAGATATTTCCAGGATGTAGTCTAACTGTAACCATCATGTCTTATATGACCTGAAGCCAATGTACAGGTGCTGAGCTGTTGTGAAAAGCAGGCAGGAAGAGCCCCCACTCTAATGTTTCAGAGCCTAGAGTGAGGTGGTGACACTAGAAGGTCAGGTTATATTGGATTACCTTCATTATGCAGTGGCCTCCCAGGTGACAGAAAACCACTAATTGTTAGGCCGGGTCAATGGCCTTGAAGGGGGGATTAGGAGGGCCTCACTCTTTATGTTTCTCTTTTGTTCACTGAAGTCTCTCCATGTTTTGTAAGACAGGCTTTTTAAAGCATGACATCCATACCTGGGATGCTGTTACTATATATGCAGGATGTTTTGAGCATTTAGCAGTTTCGACGAAAGCATGAAGGAACCATTTCATTTTCTTTATATAAGCATTACGTCTGTGTTCCACGTTTCTACATAGGTAGGGGGGAGTGTGTTCTTGGTAAAGTGGTTTTAATGTTCACTAGCCATCAGCTTTGTGACCTGTGAATTAAAACAACTTAAACTTTAACTTATCCTATTGCCTTTGACTTTTCTAGATATCCTATGACCTGGATGATGAGGAGGTGATAGCTCCTTTTCATGCTTTATCCTGTAAATGTTTCTGTTTCCATACAGGCCATGTGCTCATGCAAGGCCGTATAGTGGGTGGTCACACCGCTGCACCAAACTCCATCAAATACATTGTGTCACTGCAGAGCACCAGGGGCCAGCACTTCTGCGGAGGATCATTGGTTCACAGGTACTGGGTGCTGACCGCAGCACACTGTAACATCGGGTAAGAATGATCAAGAGTTGTCATCAATAAGCTGTTGGTGCTTTTTGCTACAGTTGGGAAACCATATAAATAAACAAACTATATTGTACATGCTTCCCTTTTTTTATTACGTTTAGCCATGATAGTGTTGTGGTTCTATGGATGGTCCAGCGGTTTGCTCCAGACTGAAAATATCCCACTGTTTTGCACGGACGATGAATCCTAATGACTTTGGTGACTTTGATATTTCCAAGCTGACAAGCACTTCTGATCAAGCCTGCTGGCATTTATTTTACGATGAACATAGTATATAATAATACATGTTAACATTGTCAAGCTGACATTAGCGTTTAGCTCAAAGCACTGTTCTATAAACCCAAAACGAATTGGTTAAACGAGGGATCATCGAGCAAGAATCAAGGCTGCCTCCTGATAAGATTACTTTTCATAAATCAAAAATGTGACCTGACAACTTTGCCCGAGGTAAAAGATCAAACTGTTTCTGAAACACTTGCACAGGCAATGACACTCTTCTGGCAGTCTTTCAGTGGACTCTGTAGAAGTCACTGTGTAGAAGCTAACTTGGCATGATTTTATATTGTGAGCAGATGGTCCCAACAGATGCCTAAAAGCAAACATCCATTCGGCTACGGGTAGGTAACGTCAAAGCGCTGCCGCTTGATCATGATGCAAACTAAACCTATATACAGGCCACTGGGAAGTCAAACAACACGCAGATGTGGTCGGGTCAGCTGACCTTGGTGCATCATCAGTGTGTATCTGTACGTGTGTGTGTGTGTGTGTGTGTGTGTGTGTGTGTGAGTGAAGTGTGATCTTGTCTGAATCCAGGAAATTGGCTGTATTTCTGTTACTGTCCCAGCCCTGCCTGCACACAGTAAGGCCATTGTTCCCTGGCAGACACACATTTCTGGCTTCATGGCGGCCCGTGTTCTCACTTGCTGTGACTTTGAATCCTGGTCATGATTTTTCATCCCTCGCACCTTCAATTCAGCTAAGATACTAAAAATGTTTTCTAAAATATAAAATCACAGGCTAATAATGATCATGATGCCTCCAGTGCATGCTAAAATAGGCCTGTGCAAACTTCTTCTCATCTTTCTCTTTGTAGAGATGGTCAGTAATGCTCAAATCTCAAAGCCATGATTTATTTACTGCAATATTTGTTGATAAATGTTAAGTAAAATGGAAATGCCCTGTCTTTTAGGGCAGAGCACATGATGATAGTGGCGGGCGACTACATTGTAAATACCTTTGAGGGCACGGAGCAGTACGCAAAACCCCACAGGTTGGTCACCCACCCCCTCTACAACAGGAGCACCAACAATGCTGACATTATGCTCATTAAGGTACAGCCAACACTGCGTAGAGATTTAGCCAAACAGCAATGGTTATGTCGAAGACAACATTAAAAATGTGTTGATTAACCATTAATTTGGTCATATTTTGTCATGGAGCTAATTTTTTGCTTTGTTCAATTATATCACTTATATTTGATGTCCTTAACTTTCAACCTAAGACATTAACTGTCCTCTGTCCTCTTATGACTAATTGTAATGGTTTAAAACAGCATAAATACAAGTGAAACTACTGAGTCACTTATTATATATCAATTATACACATTATTTGTGCTTATAGTCAGAGGTGGGATGATCTGTGTAAGTCTATATCTCAGTGAAAAAAGTGTCTATCACACCATTTATATAATCTAAATGACTCAATCACAATGACCAGCTGTGGCCATAAAAGGAAGCTACTTTTATTCTTTATGAATCAGGAGGCAAAGCAGTGTATTAAACATAAATGTTAAATATATTATATGTTTTTTTTTTATCAATGAAGAATCTTAACTTTGGTTTCCTTTAAATTCCTAACTTTCCTCGCTAGCTAGTCGCTATCTATAAACTACTGGTTAGTGAAGCTTAACTAATGATTAAGATCACATTTTATATTTGTTTTCTGATTTTCTACACAGTTGCGAGCCCCCATGGTGCTGAACAAATACGTGTCACTGGCGCCTCTGCCCAGGCAGGGGACAGGAGTGGTCGAAGGGTTGGTGTGTCGGGTGTCTGGGTGGGGCTACAACAATCTGGGTGGAGGCCAGGCCCCCTTCACTCTGCGGACAGTCACAGTGCCCATTGTTTCAACTGCAAGGTGTAACAGCAGTATGTCCTTTAACGGAAACATCACAGCAAACATGATCTGTGCTGGCTACAGGACAGGAGGAAAAGACGCATGCAAGGTACAAGGAGACACCTGCTATTCTTTCACTAACATCAAGCAGTTATTTTAAACAGTTGTGAGGTAAGTGGGTGTTGCACATTAATCACTGTCTAATCTGCCCCATTGTGACAAACACGATCATCTGAGCTTTGAAAAGCTATTAAATCCATTTTGAAATAATAAATCCTCCAAGGTATCCCAGCCCTGGTTCCCAGTGTATATCAAATAGCACAGGGTCATCCTCTTTTCATCAGTTCACATTAAAGCAAAACAACAACACAATTTTGGGAAGCTCATCCCCCTGACAGTATGAGGATACAGTTAATCATGTCAGTGTTGGTTCGGCTACAAGTTTTTATTAAACAGACGTGGCAGTCAACCCTCAGGAATTGTATTAGTTATGATAGTTACAGAAGAGATAGAAAGCAACCCTGAAATAGCATCAGGACTAAAAACACTGCTGTAATATTTAAGTACAGTCATTTGTAGCCACAGACAACAGCATGCTCTTTGGTTATTTGTAACATGATTCCAGCCCGACATTTAGTGCGAGAGGGAAAATTGCATGAAATTCAATGTGTGATATACCAGTAGGCTATATTTTGCCTTAGGTAAAGAGCTGAATGACTAATTAAAATGGTCTATATTTAACCCTGCAGTAGGCAACTTTGCGTGTTGGCATTTCCAAGTGGTAGCAAGAGATTATGATTTGGTGAATCCAACCATCCCTTGTTTCTCACATCTCTGTTTGTGTTTTTATCGTAATGTCCCTGTGGCACATATCTTATGTGAAATGTAAGAGCACACATGTAAAAACATCAGTGCTTTTTGTAAGTTTAAAATCTTTAGAAATCCACATATAAGCCAGTTTGAAACTGAATTCACATACATGTATGCTTATGTGGTTTTTGGACATTGCAAATGGGATCAAAATTCACATGATGGAGGCACATGCTGTTTTATGATCAGACGTTTTTGCATCTTAAGTGTAGTGCCCCTATTTTACATGTGGAAACATGAAGTGTCTGATTTAACTACACTAAGCTATCATAATTCCGATCATTTGTCTTTTCATGAGGTACATTTGTGACGTTACAACTGATGAAGGATGCGGTCTTGTCCTTGCAGGGAGACTCTGGGGGACCGCTGGTGTGTGGGGGTCGTGTCTATGGCGTGGTCTCCTGGGGCAACGGCTGTGGGGATGCTAAGTTTCCAGGAGTCTACACGGCTGTGTCCAAATTCCGCCGATGGATAGACCAAACCATCTATCGGTCATACCTACGCTGTACCAAATACTGATGAAGATAGGGATAAAGCAGTCATCTATGCCTGAAAATGCTTATTCTGACATGTACCAAAGGTGGTTCCACTGATCTGATTATTCCTGTAATGTGTTCAGTGCCAATATAGTGATGATGCATCTCATATTCTCCAATTATCTACCTGTGAACATTGCTGGTCTCTGCCCTCTACAGTAATTGTGGGATCCACTACCGTGGGCACTTTAATTCCAACTATGTGAAATATATAACTTGTAAAAGTACCCCTTTGTGGAAATAACTATTCAAATTCAGAGAATGTGACGAATGTTTAAAGCCAATTTAGAGTTTGACTTTGCACATGTATGTTCAGCTAAAGTTATTAGTTTGGTGAACCTGTGTATCTGTGCACCTTAAAGGCCCCCAAATATATTTTTTTAATCAGCTTCTTACTATGAACTGTGAGATCATACTTAAACACTACATGTTCTGCCTTAGAACAGTTTGATTTCCCAAAGATTTCTCAAGTGTATTTGTGTTTTTACTCTGTGTTCTTCTCACTGGGCTGAAGTGGGCGGGGATCAAACCAGATTGTTTTGGTATTATAATCTCATTAAATAATAAACTAGGGATTTTTCCCCAAAAAACTTTCTCAGCCATGAATTTTTAAGGTTACAAAAAACTACGAAGAAATGAGCTTCAAACCAGCAGCAGCAGGATGTGAGTGCACTCATTATAAAGTAAGAGGTAAAGCGAGACTTTTCTCCACTTGTTGTTGGTCTTACAGTAGGTTTTAGCATGTAGCATCATCCAATTATTCTTACTTCACCAACCTTATTGTGATGATGTGAAGCTGTCGATGGGTCCTCTGTTTTGCTTAAGTGGCATTTTAGCTGTGGAGGTTGTTGAGTTACTCGTATTGCTTCTTGTTTTCTATCCACCTCATGCTTTGTATCCATGTCTGATGTTCAGTGTGGGCAGGTTTGATGAATGAATGAAATGAAATGAAAATATTCAATACAGAAACCAGTTCTGATGATGATATAACCACATGCTGTGGAACTGAAAGAGTTGTTACTGAGATGTCCTCATATGAAAGGTGAGTCTCCGATAAAATCATGGCTTCTGTGGGTCCACAGGGAGTAGGTGTGTCATTACTGCCATTCCATTAAGAATAGTTGACAGCATATTAAAGTTAGTTCTGCTGCAGGCTTGCATATCACCTTTCATCTCATTGTCCGTGTAATGATATTTAGTTAAATTCCTGAGAATGGATATATACAGAATTAATACCAGTCCATTGGTCTATGTCCTTCACTGTTTATCTGCTTTGTAAGATCTCTTTGTGCTGTACAGAAGACAGATTGATGTACAGTACAGTACAGACAGCAGTGGGCAGTAAACCCAATGAGAATTAGTTTCAACCAAAGACAGTCCCTGGGGGCAAAGCAAACCAGTATCCTAGTTTGATAACAAAAACACCTAAATGTTCTCAAGCTGGATCCTATTAGGTTTGCTCTATTATGAATCAGCATCTTAATGGAAATGTACAGCGTGAGAGGATTTTAGGAATACTGGGATTGCATCGTTTTTTATATTTTGAGAGATCAAACTGTGTTTTGAAACATCTCAATATGATGTTTATGTTATTTCATATCATTTAAAACCTGAAACATAAAATCTGGAACATCCAGGTTTTATTCAGCAAAAATCCAGATAAAACGGCTCACTGGAGCAGGTATCTGATCCCCAGATCCCCATCTTTAAACCCCCATAGAATATGTATATATTTAACCCCCCCACGTTAGAAATTGGGGTGAAAACTGGTGAAAATAAAGCAGGCCTATAGTATGTAACTGGATGCGTGCCATGGGGCCAAAAGTCACATCTCAGCCTATGAAAACACTGCCATCCTCTGGTGAGGTCTCTCTCAGTGGACATATGACATGCTCAAAACCTCCAACACCAAATAAATCGCCAATGTTGTAATATTGCAAAAACCAAAAAACAGTTTGGAAGATTTGAAACTCATCTCTGACTGGTCGGGTGGTGGCGCGTAAAGGACGTTTTCCAACGATCTGTACTGGTGCACATTTATGAGCCATCTTTGAATATAAGATCGCCATTTGTTTGATTGCCTCTAGATCCCGGAGAGTGGAGCATTGGTACACCACGACTCTAACTGGAAGCACCTCTGGGCTGCACCAGAAAACCCCCGTACAGCTCCCTCGCCAGGTCTCCCCGGGATCCGTGTTTTGCATCGCTCCTCAATTTGCATTTCTTCCTCAGATTTTCCGTGCGACGGGTTCAGCCGCTCGAAACCAGCGGGCGCACCACGGCTCTATTGTACGTGCGCCTCCATTTCCAAAGCAATACGCACAGAGAAGAAACCTCTGGAAATTTTGAATAATGTTGCCGAAGCTCCACGAGCGGGGAAATTGAGGACATTTTGATTTAACTGTTATTGGTGTTGCGTACCTACGGAGACAGACACGTGTCTTCGGGGTAAACAGAAAAGGGCTAGATCGTGTCCGCAGATAGCGTTGTGGGTTTTTCTCCCCGTTTTGTTTGTTGTAGACGGCCGAGTTCAAGCTTGGCGACGAGCTATACATTTCAGTTCGTGCGCCTTGGTGATAAAGACGCATTTTGGAGATGTCGGAAGTGCTACCTTTCAACGAAGAAAAAATGAGTCATTATGGAAATGAGGGCGACGAGGGACACCTTTCCTTCACCTGTCGTCTTCAAGACACCAACAACTTCTTCAGTGGCTCACAGAATAAACGTCCGCCGAAACTCGGACAAATAGGCAGGAGCAAACGGGGTAATTATATAATTAAGGCGTTTTCGTTTGCATGGTGATGTGTTGAATGCGCACATAGGTTACTAGTGGACCTTTAATTAAGGATGTCTGTGTGTAGCCAAATGGGCAACACCTTTGCCTTGACATGGTCTTCACTAGAGTGTTAGATGATGATCAATTGTTTGCATGCGTGTGGGATGTATGGGGTTTTAAAATATTCTATTCGCATTGCAACACAAGTTGGATGCGCAGTGCGTGCTGTTAAATGCCTTCTGAATGCTGCTCAACAGAGTTGTGCTGGATGTCCCCTCCCCAATGAATGGAATGATTGAGATTTACACTTACACTGTGCAATTTTGAATTTTGTGTTTGCATGATTAATTCAGTCTGTTTGTGCTTTTTGCTTTTACATTCCTGATGACACCCATGAGATTGAGATGGTCATTGAAAATTTAGGCTCACTAGAGGTGGCACATACGGGCAGAGACACACATACACACACACAGTTGTACATACAGTAGTGCACAGACACAACATGGACAAACATGGCAAAAAGGCAGGCATGTAAGCATTGCACAAATGTGCATCTCACAGACACACAATCACGCTTATGGTTATCTTTCTTTTTTTGCATACCCTTACTCTCTCATGCATGCACACACCACGTCTGCTCATACAGCGCAGTGCTAATGGTTTTGGGCTTTAATGCCCTCCTGTCAGTCGGTGGTGAATTTTCAAGACGCCACACCAAGATGAGCCCCCCTCATTAACTCTCTCTCCCCTGTCATCCACAGTTGTGATTGAGGATGAGAATGGCGACAACGAAGCACTGAAAAATGGAACAGAGAAGACCCCGGCAGAGGCTTAGAGCGCACGGCTCACCGACCCCCAAAAGACACTCTTGAAATTTTTTATGGCGATATTTACCAGTTTTAATCCAAAGACACTGTATATAAGCACTTTCTCTCATGTGGCAGCAAGCAGCACTTCCACGCCCTCCTCTCCCAGTCTGTCATGGCCATCCGGGTGACACACACTGGCAGGGGAGGGAGATGGCAGCAAAGGAGACCCCCAGGTGGACCCCCCTCGAGACACACACACACACTCTCAGATAAACAAACACACCCTTGATTACAGGGTTTCGCCATAAATCCAAAAGCAGGAGAAGATAACAAGAGGAGGGGGGGCGGGGGCGAGGTGGAGGAAGGAGGCGACGCTGTCGAAATGCAGAAATCAGGGACAGGTTACAGAAATAAATCTGATATAGAAACTAAAGCACACACTTCTCCTATATCTTATCAATCAAACCTATGGTACCATTCTTTCTGCTCTTCATTTTGATTGAGGGCAAATGAATAACAGAGTTTGTAAATATGGAAAGGGTAGCCCATATTTTCTTGCACAAAGTGGGAAGCAGTAAACTGGTTTGTTCTCTGTGTTGAAGACTTTATTTATTGATCCTTTGGAATATGTCTTTTGCAGTGACTTAAGGCCCGAGGGAGGGTTTTTTTGTATGTCAAGAAAACTTTGAGTGAATGAGAGTGACATTTTTTTTTTCACTTTATAATTCTTGATGTTGCCTGAGTGTTTTTTGTTACCATACTTTGCAGCTAACAAGTCATTTATATACAGTGTAACTCCCACCTGTTTGTAAGCTTCCCAGGCTTTCACCTGGATTGGTTGATACTGTAACTTGACTGTACACACCCTATTGATAAACTATTTATATTGCATTGTGCATTATCGTGTGTGCCAAATCTCATGAGGGATATACTGTACCAGACAACTTGTTCTTTTTTGTGCTTTATACATTTACTCATACAATTCAGTTGTTTGGTTGGGTTGCCATTTTTTAGGGCTCTTTCTTAAAACACTGAAATACCAACTCATGCATGGCAAATATGAAATCATGCATGCACTGCAGAAGTTCTGAAACTCTTGTGTATTCTTGAAGCACCTCGTATACAGCTTTGAATGACGAACCTCGAGAAACAGTCTTAATTCTGCGTTGTACTGTACGATTCTCACTGATTTGTACAGTGGCCTAATATCTTGTAATAAAGATTATGACAAAGTACTATTTACTGTTTAGTGTTGATTGTGGTTTACAATACAAAATTATGTACTAGATGTTGCTTTTTGTTTTATAAACTGTTTTAAAACTGTAGCAAAAACTCAAAAGTCTAGTTTTGTATCAGAAAGGTAAAGACAATAGCAAAGAGCTTGGCTGACTTTTGGATATGTTCCTTGTACAGTTTCCCGTGTTGTTATTGGATTGCCTATCTGGCTGCCAAGGAAGGTCAAGTCAGCATTTTCCACTGTGAGAAAGTAGCATCCCATTCTTCGGAAAGATCAGATGGAAGGAGA